GCCATGTACTCACATACACCATGCGTGTCTCGTCTGCCTGGTTACAACAATAACAAGGTAACATATCAAACGTTCATGACAAGACTGCTGTACATTATCTCTTAACCAAGGTAATTAGCGGTGGCACTTACAGAGTTTCATAGTAACCTTTTATAGCAGAGTATCTTCTACCAAATACTGAACATAGTTTCGTAGTTGTTGCGTGATGAGTTTGGTTAATAGACGACACACTCAGGAATATGCTAGCTAGATATTCGAGTCTGGACCAAACAAGCTACTGACTGACATTATGAGGAGCTTCTCGCGCCGGTCATGGTGTCGTACACCCAGGCAAGTCAACAACAAGCACATTTTGGTGGGGACATGTTCTGACCCGGAATACAACGTATGATACATAATCAAATATCAACAAACATTAAACGATCACTCCCATTCTCCCGAAATGATAACGGCTACCATAATTTAAAGCTCTGCTTGGAATTTGCGAACAACATTTAAAGGCTGAGTTCAGCAGTAGCATGAAGTATATACGAAATTTCACAAAGAACTAATGAACTGCATATGAGTAACCGGTACTAATATGAAACCAGAACGTTCCCGAAAAGCAAAATGCATCGGAAGGGAAACGTGACTGTCGGATTCGTCTGTATAATTACGTCAGTGAGATCTGACATTAAATGGCCTTGGTTGTGTGTTACATCAGTGGCCCCTGTGTAATCTACAACTCATTTCCTGCTGGGTAATATCGAATAAAGATAGTCAGTGAAGCATGAAGGGTATGTTTGGCCGTACAGAGGATTACCTGGTGGAAAACACCTGTCTTTTCTACAACATACATTCACCATAACACAAATGTTTCTACGTTCAGAGAGGGAGAACTAGAAGGGGACGAAATGAACAAGATGTCATCCAACCATACGTTGTGTAGTGTTCCTATGGTGAAAACCAGAGACAACAGACATTTCACAATTAAAGAATAAATTTACATTTTGGAAAATGTGAACCACTGTGCTGTCACATTTATTACCAGAAGTTTATTCACTTAACACGAATACATCATTTCTTAGTAGACAAGAAGTTCATAACTGTTGGTACTCACTTGCAAGCACACGCGCTGTCATTCAACCAACGTTATACGGCTATTATATGGCCCGTTCAACCACTCGCTGTAGAGTTATGGCCACTCGTATACTGACTGAGAGCGCTAACAGTACACTTCGAGTGTATGTGAAGGTAATACCATCAGATAACTGCAATAAACTCACTTTTGAACGAGAGTTCGGAATGCCAAACGTATGTCAGACAGATTATGTCCAATGGTGTTGTTGTCAGAATATGAACGAATGATGGAAAAAGTATACCATATTTTCTTAACTTTATAGATAAAGAAATAAATCAAAAGTATAATATATATTCCCAGCGCCTTGATGGAGGGGTCACGTAGAGATAAAGCAGAGATTAAAAGGACTTTGCATGTTCAACTTTAAGAGTGCAGTTGACTGACAGCGGGAACGAACCATGTTATAGCCACATTGACTGTTACTTGTGTCCTGAGCATGCGTGGGCTCAACCGTTGGGTGTGTTCAGGTGTGTTTTGTGTAGGTATTTCCATCACCTTAAATTTTCTTCTTACTCGTTGTCCATTTTTTTCCCAGTTTCATAGAATCATCCAATGAGTGAGACATGAACATAAAACAACACGTTCTTCAACTATAAATGACACGGGCACCTACTTCTGAGGCTTGCTGGAATATGTTTATGTTTGATACACCGCACACCTAGATGACCGTTTGATAATGACGCTGAGTATAATGTTTGATACACCGCACAACCTAGATGACCGTTTGATAATGACGCTGAGTATAATGTTTGATACACCGCACACCTAGATGACCGTTTGATAATGACGCTGAGTATAATGTTTGATACACCGCACAACCTAGATGACCGTTTGATAATGACGCTGAGTATAATGTTTGATACACCGCACACCTAGATGACCGTTTGATAATGACGCTGAGTATAATGTTTGATACACCGCACACCTAGATGACCGTTTGATAATGACGCTGAGTATAATGTTTGATACACCGCACACCTAGATGACCGTTTGATAATGACGCTGAGTATAGAGGCAGATGTATTAGTTTAGACTGTAGTGCCAAAAAGGTCCATGGTGTTGATACCTTGCTCAGTCGTTTAAGAGTCGTAGTAATTATGATAATTATAAGTGGAATGTACAAAGACAAACGAATTTGCTCATGATGTCAATCACTGGATTATCTAATAAAAACTCAACTATTTACAGACTGCTGCCATATAACTGGAATATTGTTGGGAGCAGCATAACACAACAAATGAAATCTTAGGTAAATTCGTAACAAGAAAGTTAAAAACAGTTAATGAATATTTAGTTACGGCATGGAATTAATGCTAGAGCTAGAGATAGCAACGGAACCAGAGCCTATTTTGTACATATTCTACATCAATACGACATCTATCAAACTCTTCCTTCAAACTTTCTCTGACATTCATATTGTGACCTATCCTTATGCTGCTGTGTGTCCTTGAAAGGAATAATACACAAAATTAGTCAATCGTTACATCGACCTCCATGTGACAATTTTTTTCTTCCTCTAGTAACTTGTTGACATTTTTGTATGTATTGTTTAACACAGTGAGGTGTTACAAACATCAGCTGGATACGTTATTTATTCATGTCAGAAAGTATATATGGAAACTCATTTTGGAACTTGCAGGTCGTACCCCCACAACCATTGTATACATTTTCTTTAAATAGTTACAAACGAGGTGTTCAGAGTGTCAGTCCGATCATGTATTTCCAACGATAATCATGTTGGCCTCGGAGAGAAAACTTTCATTTTCTACCATAATAATACTGTCTTTGTTCATATTAATAGAGTTTCGATCCAGTGTACTTTATTTCTAGTCACTGTTTACTGATAATCAATGTTATGGACATTATAATCCCTTAATCCTCTCGTGGGCTAATCTTGACGTGTTAAAGATGATGTGGACCGCGTCAAAACAGCGCTTACCAAAGACGGCAACAATCTGGCCAATGTTTGGCAATGGTGGAAGTATAACGCATTTTCCAATATAAATCTAAAAAATCTGTACGTTCGTGCTTTGGGAAAATTGTTGCTCGTTTTCTTATACGTTATACTGATCATTACATTTGCAAGATGAAGTATTAGGGTGTATTCATACGTTGTGAGGTGAAAGTTGGCATTGTTCATGTGTTGTCAGATGGATGCAGGGATTGCCATGCATTGTCAGATGGATGCAGGGATTGTCATATATTGTCAGACGAATGCAGGGATTGTCATATATTGTAAGACGAATGCAGGGATTGTCATGTATTGTTAGACGAATGCAGGGATTGTCATGTATTGTTAGACGAATGCAGGGATTGTCATGTATTGTTAGACGAATGCAGGGATTGTCATCAATTGTTAGACGAATGCAGGGGTTGTCATGTATTGTTAGACGAATGCAGGGATTGTCATGTATTGTTAGACGAATGCAGGGATTGTCATGTATTGTTAGACGAAATCAGGGATTGTCATGTATTGTTAGACGAATGCAGGGATTGTCATGTATTGTTAGACGAATGCAGGGATTGTCATGTATTGTTAGACGAATGCAGGGATTGTCATGTATTGTCAGACGAATGCAGGGATTGTCATGTATTGTTAATTGATCGCACTGTTGTTCAAAAACATGTATTGCCAGAGGAATGTAGGGAATTCAATAACATCTATAGCCAGAGGAAAGCATTTCAACGCATATTTGTAAGGACATGTTTCATTGCTATGTTTATGAACTACACGCCAAAGTTGCCGGAACCCTATGGGAAGTCCTTGGGTTGCAACAATACACAAATACGCTAGGACAACCACCTACCAAAAATCGCTCTCTCTCTCTCTCTCTGTCTCTCTCTCTCTCTCTTGTGAAACTTATGGGTATGGTATGAAGCAGTCGCTTGCCTCCTGTGTCAAATATTAACCTCTGAGACTTGCGTTACTTCATCCTACATGAAGCTGACATCACTGGAATACTCGGTGCTAACCCAACTCAATCAGTCTTTACCTAATACCATCTGGAAATGTTCCTCTTTGCCTGTGGATGTCATGTTCATACAAACAAAACAGAAATAACATACTGCTTAAACATTTTCTTGAAGTAATCCTTCTACGAACATTTGGTTGAGTGGAATCTGTGCTCTGTTTTAACGTCAATGTTCATTGTTAACTATTTACTTTCTTTTGTGTATGCAAGCACGAGCTGTTGGATGACAAACCGATATCGTACATTAAGTAACTGATAAATGTGTAATAAAACTACAAGTGCCATATTCTCACCGACTGCTAATTTGAGTATTAAAAATCGTTCAGTGTATTCTGATACAGGAAGGGAAGTAACTCATACAAACACACACAACGAGCATTTAATTTTCAATTTCAAGCTGCCGACTATAAACGATAGTAAAAGTATATTTATGCGGTTCTACATATTTCTATCCAATCAAATACCATTTAGTTTGGATTTATGTGTCTCATTAAAGTAAAACACCGGTCTTTGCAAAAGGGTACACAATAAATTCCTGAGCTGTACAGTCGTACGTTTGCACAAAGCAATTTATAGAGCTATCGGAACCCGTAAAAGTGCCCTCGTGTTGGAATATTTTGATTAAATCCAGCTCATTTTCGTAGCTGATTTGTTTGGACGCCGTCTTAGACAACCGTCAATTCAGACAACGTGTCACAATGTGGGTAATTCCAATATAGTACGTCCATACTGAGTGAAGCTGGACAATTACCGTAGGTGTATACATACTTAGAGCTTACATTACGTGGTGCTGTAGCACTTATGAGTTTCTCAGCCTGAACAAGCAAAATGGTAATGCCATGCCTCTTTATACAGGTGACGAGGAGGTGTCTATATTTGAAAGAAGTAAGCAAACATTTGCTAAAACGTCGTTTCAATACGTCTATAATCTGTTATTTAAACAGCGTATGAATGATTGTGTTACAGAGGATAACATTGCATTTACGTGAAATGAAATACGAAGTCCAAGGAGATACTTGCATATATTCTTTGAGTACAATATTGATATACAATATTAACGAGCAATACACTCACTTTAGTGGAATGTAGAATCACAGGGCAGTAATTCTGTCTGAAAACAAATGTTCTCTGCTGTTTTTCCTCGTGTAACCAGGCTGCTGTGTACCGTTTTCAACCAGCGGCGGAGCATACTCCGACTTCCTTACTTTCCTACCTTGACGTTGATTCACGTTGGATTTACTCCGATATTCCAGCAAGCATTTGGGAAACAGTATCTTCCTGAAAGCTTCTCTGAATTCTTGATTAAATATGCTATATATAATAGGATTTAAACATGAATTGACATAACCTAACCAGGTAAGTATTTTGAACACAACATCAGGTATGCACGTGGGACAAAATGCGGCAATTGGATTCATCACAAAGAAAGGAAACCAACAGAGTAGAAATACTCCCATGATGATGCCGAGAGTGACGGCTGCTTTATGGTCCGATATTCTGTAGCTTCCTCCTTGTTTGCCGGCGGCATCACTCGCCTGCTGTGGGGTCTGAAACCTCTCTGCTGTGTGAGTTCTGCGAATTATGTCCGCATGCCTTTTGGCATACATGTACAAACGACAATATATTGAAAGCATCACAATACAAGGAATGTAAAAACTTATTGTTGATGATACAACAGCATAGATAGGATTCAATTCAAATATGCAACTTTCAGATGCTAAAGAATCTTGTTGGTTATTTCCGGAACTAAAATGCCATCCCATGTGTATTGGAACGAAGGAAATTAGCAGTGACAGAATCCACACTGTAGCAATAAAACACACTGTCTTTCTCCCCGTCATCCACGCTTCATATCGTAATGGGTCCTTTATGTGAATATAGCGGTCCAAACTTATCACACATAAATTGAGAATAGATGCTGTTGAGCACATTATGTCCGCGGATATCCATATATTGCAAAACTCAATGCCGAAAGCCCATGTTCCTTGGATATCATTAGCCACAGCAAATGTCATCACACTGATGGCCACAAGCAAATCTGCGATGGCAAGAGACACAATAAAAAAGTTACTATTTCTTTTCAGCTTTCTGTCTGTAAACACAGCTGCACACACCAGCATGTTTCCACCAATAGCAACAACAATCAATATACACAGAAATGTCCCAATTAAAACTTTTTCTGTTAAGTTATAGTTTGTAATGAGACTATGGGACAGATTGGCGTGTGTTGGTGTTATGACGTATGTAGGCTGAGACCAGTTACCAGACATTGCAGGAGTGTAGGTACCCACTGGAACAGAGGGAGCTACTGTGAATCTGTGGAAGTGCTGATTTCAACCCAAAAATAGTGAACTTACTGACAAGGTGTACACACAGCAAAATCGTCCATGCTCCAGGATAGTTAGAAGCTTATAAAAAACTGTTTCCTGTAATCCATGGCTGCTTCAGGTACACAGAGGTGATGGAAGTCCCGTATAGATGTATTATTGGTCATTTACAGATGAAGTACTGTGTTTTCAAATGATAACTTGGTATCCAAAATAGAGATGTGACTTAGAAGTATCCCAAAGCATCATACATGACTGCGATGAAGTTGCATCTAAAGTTCCACGAAGGACCACTAACGTCCGAGTTGAAGACTGGCTTATGCCTCAGCAGCGCACGAGAAATGAGTGACAGCAGGCGTGCTGTGCGCACAACCACTTTACTCTGCTGGTTTTCTGGCGAGAACCGAGTTTGTGGTGAGGACAGCAATGTTAGTGGCGTGACACGTTGAATCACACCCTGGCTCGCCAACAGTAGTTGTCAATGACTTATTATCGGAATTTGGGACCTTATCGATTTAGACATAGTCACTGACGTGACCACAACTGTCCACATTGCTCATTTTAGCGCCACTTGTAAGAGAGCAGACGACAGACGTGAAACTGTAAGGGCAGAACGATTGAAACAGCTTCGTGCGCGGATCAATGCACCGCCACACTAGCACTGTCTTTAAGCAGAGTAATCGCTCTGAGGACCAATGAAATGGGGCTCTATTGCCTGATTTCGGATTGTGATTGTGCATTGAAGCCCCACGAGTATAAACGTCCGTCCTTTCTACTTCTTACGGCCCTTGTGACTGAAGTACTTAAAGGGGCAGAGTAATGCACTGTGGTGGTTTCTAATCCAATTTCATGATCAGTTTATAACTTCACATTGAGGATTAGATACATGTAGGTAAGCGAACTCTTACACGTTAGTGTTTGTTAACAGCAGCGTTAAAACAGCATCTGAAAGTTGTAGATAGTAGTATGATAGGACCTACATTTATTGATTGCATGAACAGGTGATCATTCATATTTGATATATAAGCACACAGAGATTTAGAGATTTTAAAAAATTCACATATGTTGGTAAACTTTGTTAAGAAGTAAGTACTAGATAGTCATACTGGCATTCATTTTTTATTGCATTCTACTGATCACGTTAAGAATTGTGTAGAGACGGGTAGACTTTAGCCCCTAATAGATTTACTTTGATTATGCGACAATCAGCAATATATATTTATTAATCTCTGAAATGGACATATTTTTGTTACATTGTCCTTAGATATATAAATGTATTCACTTTCCTGAAACTGACGAATTCTATTGTACACGTTTCTTGCTTCAGGCTGTGTACAGAAGATGACATTACGGGGAGGAGAGTAGCTTGTGCCTGGCTGTAACTGAGGAGGCAACACAATAGGTACTCACTCACAGGTAATATCCAACTAGACTTGTTAAGGTTTAAGTGGATTTGCGTCACGTGAACTAGTTGAGGATAAACAACACCATGGGTACATCCAAACAAACACCTCTACACACACGCGCGCGCACACACACACACACACACACACACATATAACGAAATAGTTGTAGCAAACAATACTAAAGGTAGGCCACTATAGGCACACCAAATAGTTGTAGCAAACAATACTAAAGGTATGCCCGTGTAGGCACACCAAATAGTTGTAGCAAACAACACTAAAGGTATGCCACTGTAGGCACACAAATAGTTGTAGCAAACAACGCTGAAGGTATGCCACTGTAGGCACACAAATAGTTGTAGCAAACAACGCTGAAGGTATGCCACTATAGGCACACCAAATAGTTGTAGCAAACAACGTTAAAGGTATGCCACTGTAGGCACACTAAATAGTTTTAGCAAGCAACAATAAAGGTATGCCCGTGTATGCAGACCAAATAATTTTGCAAACAACGTTAAAGGTATGCCCGGGTAGGCAGACCAAATATTTGTAGCAAACAACACTAAAGGTATGCCACTGTAGGCACACCAAATAGTTGTAGCAAACAACACTAAAGGTATGCCACTGTAGGCACACAAATAGTTGTAGCAAACAACGCTGAAGGTATGCCACTATAGGCACACAAATAGTTGTAGCAAACAACGCTGAAGGTATGCCACTATAGGCACACCAAATAGTTGTAGCAAACAACACTAAAGGTATGCCACTGTAGGCACACCAAATAGTTGTAGCAAACAACGCTGAAGGTATGCCACTGTAGGCACACAAATAGTTGTAGCAAACAACGCTGAAGGTATGCCACTATAGGCACACCAAATAGTTGTAGCAAACAACACTAAAGGTAGGCCACTATAGGCACACCAAATAGTTGTAGCAAACAACACTAAAGGTAGGCCACTATAGGCACACCAAATAGTTGTAGCAAACAACGTTAAAGGTATGCCACTGTAGGCACACTAAATAGTTTTAGCAAGCAACAATAAAGGTATGCCCGTGTATGCAGACCAAATAATTTTGCAAACAACGTTAAAGGTATGCCCGGGTAGGCAGACCAAATATTTGTAGCAAACAACGCTAAAGGTATGCCACTGTAGGCACACCAAATAGTTGTAGCAAACAACACTAAAGGTATGCCACTGTAGGCACACCAAATATTTGTAGCAAACAACACTAAAGGTATGCCACTGTAGGCACACCTTATAGTTGTAGCAAACAATACTAAAGGTATGCCACTGTAGGCAGACCAAATATTTGTAGCAAACAACACTAAAGGTATGCCCGTATTGACACACCAAGTAGTTGTAGCAAACAACACTAAAGGTATGCCCGTATTGACACACCAAGTAGTTGTAGCAAACAACACTAAAGGTATGCCCGTATTGACACACCAAGTAGTTGTAGCAAACAACACTAAAGGTATGCCCGTATTGACACACCAAGTAGTTGCGGCAAACAACACTAAAGGTATGCCCGTATTGACACACCAAGTAGTTGTAGCAAACAACACTAAAGGTATGCCCGTATTGTCACACCAAGTAGTTGTAGCAAACAACACTAAAGGTATGCCCGTATTGACACACCAAGTAGTTGCGGCAAACAACAATGTTGGTAAGGTCACATAGATATTCGTGGACTAGTTGAGGAAAAGGACACCAAAAGTACTTGCCATTTTGTCACTTGGCACTTAATGCCTGGTTTTATCGATGATGCCATGTGTTGGGTCTGATAACAAGGCTAGTTCTCTGACGTAATCACATCGTGTAAATAACACTGAAGCCAGACTTCCTGATAACAAGTGACCGGACCAGGCCAAGTCACGTAATATGGGTGTCTTTTTTGTGGTGAGGTATCTGCTCACATTCTGATTAATGCTTAATACAATAGCAGCAGGTATGTTTAAACTCTCGAAACAAAATATAATGTTTCAGATATTTAGACTGGGGTGGGGGAGTGACATAACTACCAATAACCAGGTCAACTCACTGAACAGGCACCTTTTGTTGACTAGTACTAGTGCAGTGAAGCATGGTGGTAGGCAGAACAATGAAGCTAATCTGCTATCAGCTGCCCGCTCAGAGAGATTAAACCAAATAGCCATCTCGGAAGGTGGTATTTCAAAGTGAACTCACTTACATCATGCCATCCAAACGTGATTATGTGAACATGATGACGCGAAAGCTGTCAAAGACTGAAGTTAGACCAGCATTGTGGACATTAGCGGAAACACAGAGGAAATGTGAAGCATGTGATGGTTGAGGACTGATTTAGATTGGCCAAATGTTCAGCCACATTTGATGGACAGTGCGCACCTTGCTGGTGATTGCTATGCACCTTAGGTAAATTATAGTTTATTGATTACTGTTAAAGTGTTGATAATGATACTTGTGTTTCGACATTATTATCTTTGTGATCATTTCCTGTAATGTCAATGAGATGTCTACCACAAGTCCCACTGAGTCCTCTGAACTGAACTTTACTTCTCTCAAGGCTATATACATAGCATAATGATGCTTTTTAAAATTGCATAATATAGAGCGACAAAAAAGTTGGCAATTTAATCAAATCCGAAACATTTTTACTTTATTATAAACTTATCATTTTAAATACAGATGGTCTCTTGATGTACAGTGTTCGAAGTAGTTTCTTTCTCAAATCGTTGAAATAATTTACAATTAAACAGGAAGTGGTATTCATCGCCAATATCGTTTGAAACACACAGGGTACAATTTCTAACAAAAATATCAATTTTTTACCATCTACCGGTCTCAATCGGTAATCGATGACATGATAATCTAAGCAATGTTAAAGCAATTTAATGTTTATTAGGTAAATGTTGTAGATAGAATTCAATATCAGTATTAAGTTTAATAGATTTATAGAATCTACCCTTAGATGATACTTCTAGATCAGAGTGCCACTTCTCTATAAACAAGTCAATTCATTCATTATGTTGTTCTTTATCCATTCTACATTATCACAAATTGTTGAATCCACATGTCATTATTTCCAGTTTGAACTAAACAGCATGTATACATGACATCCACTTATTATTATCTTGTGTGTCTCGGTAACCTTTGCTAAATGTCTTCAGAAAGTTTAGAGTTGATCACGTAGTAAGCTGGAGTCATGTATATATGGTGAACAATATAATATACGTGCTTCTAGGTAGGAGCCTGGCTGTAGTAGTCCGTGTTTTGGTACAAACCCACTGATATACCATGCCAACTGTATGTCTCAGTATGCTGAACGCCACCCTGACCAGTCTTTGTTGTTTTACCTTAAGGCTGGGTATGATGCGGTTAGATGATCGAATCACCAAATATTAGTTAACAGACAAACGTTTAGATAATCAATTACAAGACTTTCAAACGTGGTCACGTCACCTTGTGCTACGGACGATACAGAAAGGATATCTTCTTTGCTTGACAACGGCATTATAATATATGTCGAAACGTGGCCTATACAGAACAAAGAAGTTGTCTATCCGTAAAAATAGTCTTCATTCTTCAGAAAGGATATCGTCAAGTTATATAGGACAAATCTTGCACCTAACCCATATCCGTGTCTACTTTGAACAGAAATATCCAGAAAATAATCAAAGCATTTGTTAACTATTAAAGTTTTCTGACTTTCATAGCATGTGTAGTCTCCAATATACAATAGTTCAGCTGTCACATCCAGTGAGTGAGTGCAGAAACAAGATTACATGGGCATTCAGCTTAACTTGTCCGCCGACTCATTGTTATTGGAGGTCGAAGGAAGTCACTGTACTTCAACAGTTTGTTGTTAGCCTCAAGTGACCCCTGAAAAATAGTAAAAAAAGTAACATCATATATCAAAAGAATTACATCCCCATGAATCCCGTCCTATAGCTAGATATTTCGATACGAAAGACGGTAAATACAAAATTGTGCACACATGGTTCCTAGTTACCAGATAAACATGTGTTTTCAGATGTACGAGGATGCTTCCGAGTATTTGATGCCCACATTCCGGCTAACGCCGGCTGTTTTAAGTCTGACACGGACATGTCACTCTTGTCTGTCTCAGTCCCTGAACCGCATTAATTTTCTTCTCCAATGCTTAAAGCCACAAATTAAGCAAGCCCAGAATTCCTCAGGTTCCATCTCACTGGAGACCATTTTCAGTTTACAAGAAATTGTTTGTTTCTATCAAAATTATATATATATATATACACAGTGTTGACACCATATATATATATATAATTATGCTAGAAACAAACAGAGACTCAGCATGAGTGTAATGTCTCTCTAGGAAGTCTTTGCCGTCGTCAAGCAGGCAATGGTGGGGGCATACGCTAAACAACTGGAGCTGCTAGGTGAGCACAACCGACACCTAACTCTAAACTGTCACGATGCATTTGAATCAAACGATTAAATAATCAATGCTGTATACATTTGAAC